GGATCACAGGCGGGACCGGGACCGGGATCGGGATCACAGGCGGGATCGGGATCAGGATCACAGGCGGGACCGGGACCGGGACCGGGATCATAGGCGGGACCGGGACCGGGATCACAGGCGGGACCGGGATCAGGATCGCAGGCGGGACCGGGACCGGGATTGGGATCACAGGCGGGACCGGGACCGGGATCACAGGCGGGACCGGGATCGCGATCGGGATCACAGGCGGGATCGGGACCGGGACCGGGATCGCTATCGGGAGTAGGATTGCGAGCGAGAACCGGGACCGGGACCGCCATCGAGAACAGGACCGGGATCGCGATCGGAACCGGGATCCAATCGGGATCGGAACCGGGATCGCGGACCGGCCCCGGATCGTGCTCACCGCTGGCGGCTGGGGTCGGCTCTGCTCCGCTCGGTTCGGCTCCGGGCTCGCCCCGCTCCTCCCCGCCGCCCTTTATACCCCGGAGCCCGCCCCGAGCGCATGTGACCGGAGCCGCCCAGCGGGGCCGGCCCGGGGCGCCCCGGGAGCAGCGACCGGCGGGGAGCGCGGGGCCGGGAGGGCAGCGAACCCCCGGGAACGGCCTGCACCGAGACCCCCGCCCGGCACCGGATCCGCCGGGACTGGGCTGCACTGAGCCTCCCCGGACCCCGTTCCTCGCTCGGTGCTGCACTGACCCCCCCCGCTCCCGGTACCGGATCCCCCGGGACTGGGCTGCACTGAGCCCCCGGACCCCGTTCCTCGGTCGGTGCTGCCCTGACCCCCCCGCTCCTGGTACCGGATCCCCCGGGACTGGGCTGCACTGAGCCCCCGGACCCCGTTCCTCGGTCGGTGCTGCACTGAGACCCGCTCCCCGGTACCGGATCCACCGGGACCCCGTTCCTCGGTCGGTGCTGCACTGACCCCCCCCGCTCCCGGTACCGGATCCCCCGGGACCCCATTCCTCGCTCGGTGCTGCCCTGACCCCCCCTGCTCCCCGGTACCGGATCCCCCGGTACCGAGCTGCACTGACGCCCCTTGCGCACCGGACGCTCCCGGGACCGCTCTACACCGACGCGACTCGCCGGGATCCGGCTGCGGTGACCCCCCCAGCCCAGAACTAAGGACCCGCCGCCCTTCCCGGGCACCGATCCCCCCACCCCGACCCTCCCAGGCACGGGGGTCCCGGTGTTCCCCGCACCTGGCCCGGTGGAGGCGGTGGAAGCGGTCCCGGGGGGTTCGGGCGGCGGAGGCCGGGCGGTTCTGGGGTGCCCGGTGTCACCCCAGCTGTGACCACGCTGCGCTTTGTGACGTCGGGGGAACCCCGGGGCGTGCCCAGCCCCTCCGCTGTGACAACTGGGACAAAGTTCAGTGCCACACGGCTGGGGGGTCACAGTCCAGGTGTCCTGGCACCCTGTGGCACCTTTCTCCCAGTACCCCATGGAATCCCGTCCCACTGTGTGCCACTGGCACCCCCTTGTTGAGCCCCCCTCGGGGGTGCCCCCGGGGTGGCTCTGCCACAGCGCTGCAGGCTCTGAGTAATTTTAAGGCCAAAAAAGTTGTTTTTTTCCTCTTTAAACTGGTTTGAAGCTGTTAAGACACGAAATTCCAGCATTCCAGGGGCTTAGGGCAGCCCTGGATCCCACACAGGCTCACACGGCGTCCTCCACGTGCCACCATCCCCACAGGAGTCCCCGGCCGTGACACTGGGGTGCCACGCTGGGCCACCACGTCCATCCATCATCCCCCCATTCCCGGTGGGACTGGGGGTCGCAGCTCCGGGTGGGTGGCCCCGGTGGCTCAGCGCCGGCTGCAGACCCGGGGGGCAGCGGGCGCCTGGTGCGTCCCCCCAACGATGACAGAGCCCTCCCACTTGGACATATCCACGGGGGCATCCTCCGGGTACTCCACCAGCGCGGGGGCGAAAGGTCCCATGAGCCAGGGCAGGGGCGTGTGCTGCCCCACGTGCTCCAGCAGCCCTCCAGGCTCAGCTGTGCCCGCGTCACGGCGTCCCGGCTCTGTGCCAGCACCAGGCCCGACAGGTCCTGGAAGGAGTGGGCGCTGGCCAGGGAAGCCTGGACGCCCTCCACGCCGTGCCAGATGTGTCCCGCCGTCTCCTGCACGCTGCTGGGGAATGCCCGGGCACCGGTGGCCAGGTGGGAGCAGGCGGAGTGGAGCTGGTGCAGGAGCCCGTGGAGCATGGCCAGAGTCCGAGCCTCCACCTGTGGGGTGGGCAGCGGGCAGCGGGGGCTGGGGGTGATGGATCCCACCCCCCCCATGGATGGACCCACAGCTGGACTCCGTGGCTGCTGTTCCACCCCTGCTCCAGGTGGCACCACCCCAGGTGTCCCCTTGCCATGTGTCCCCACCTCAAGAGACTCAATGGCTGCTGTGCCCACCCTCCCCAGCTGGAGCCATCTGTCCCCCACGGTCCCTCCACCCCGTACCTCGTCGTCCTCCATGGGCACCGCATCCTGCTGGCTCCACTCCAGCCACAGGTGGTGCAGGTGCTCCCGGGTGCTGTGCCAGGGCCCGTCCGTGCCCTGCTGCCCCTCCTCGATCTGGGGGGAGGTTCAGCCAGGTGGAGACACACCCTGGGGGTGCCTGGGGCCACCACGGGGCTGGCACCGTCCCTGCCCCATCCTTACCAGCCGGATGACGTGGTGGAGCTGGGCCAGGAGCCGCTGGGCACGGAGCCGTGCCCGCTGCAGGTCCCCCAGCGAGCGCCGCAGGGCCCGGTGTGGCAGCCGGGCTGACAGGGAGCCCACGCGGACAAAGTAGCTCTGCCACCGCCTGTGCCGCTCCTGCGTGGCCACCTCCGTGCCCCTGGTCACCTCCGTGCCCCTGGTCACCTCTGTGCCTGTGGCCACCTCCATGCCCCTGGTCACCTTCGTGCCCCTGGTCACCTCTGTGCCTGTGGCCACCTCTGTGCCCATGGCCACCTCCGTGCCCGTGGTCACCTTCGTGCCTGTGATCACCTCCGTGCCCCTGGTCACCTCCATGCCCGTGGTCATCTCCTTGCCCTTGGTCACCTCCGTGCCTCTGGTCACCTCCGTGCCCTCCGTGCCCCTGGTCATCTCCGTGCCCGTGGTCATCTCCATGCCCGTGGTCACCTTCGTGTCCGTGGTCATCTCCTTGCCCTTGGTCACCTTCGTGCCCCTGGTCATCTCCGTGCCCCTGGTCATCTCCGTGCCCCTGGTCACCTCCGTGCCCGTGGTCATCTCCTTGCCCCTGGTCATCTCCGTGCCCTTGGTCACCTCCGTGCCTGTCGTTGCTGCTGTGGGACCGGGGTGAGGGCAGCGTGGCTGGGCCATCCTGTGCTGGGCACTGAAGCCCAGCGTGGGCACCCACAGGATGCTTGGCCACCAGCTCGTGTGGAGATGCCACCTTAAACCAGGTGGCCTCTGAGGTCACTTGAGCTGCGACATTGAGCTCTGCCTGATGTTACCCAGTGCCAAGCTATAAATACCCGGGCGGGCACACGGGACTATATTTGCTTTTGGATTTCCAGGTGAGAGTTCACCCAGTGCCATCCCCGTCCTTCAGGCAGGGCCTGTCCCCTGCGTGGGCTCACGGTGACCTCAGTGTTCTGGCACCGCTGCGGGGCCACCGTGTACAGCCAACGCCAAGACCGAGCACCAGGGTGAGGGTGTCAGGAAGGGCTTGGCACCCCGAGATTTGGGAGATGGTGGGCTGTCACAGTGAGCTCATGGGCTCTCTATTTCCCCTTCCCCATTCCCTGTGGCTCTGATCAGATAACCCTGGACCCTCCTTCCTGCCCCAAAGGGAGAGCCAGGGAAGCCCACCCTGCCCAAAGTCTGTACAGACCCCTGACATTTCCTGTTCGTGCTCTTTAACCCGCTCTCCACATGGACATCACAGAATAAAGAGAGCTGCACCAACATATCTGGGGTAAGAGCCTCTTTTGGGAATCTTTGCCATCTCCTGACATTCCTCCCCTCACAGCCTGCTTACCTCTGGGCTAGAGTAGGATATTCAGGGGGCTGTGCGAGGAGGGGAACGTCAGTGGGCACTCACCCAGCTCCTCGTCTGCCGCCGGGAGGTACCGATCCAGCAGCTCCTCGGATTTGCCCAGCACGGCGTCCACGCCCGTGGCCAGCAGCCGCCCCACGCGGGTGCCCGCCACGGCGCCGAGTGCCACACGCGTCCTGGCCAGCGCCCCGCTCACCGTGCACGACAGCAGCTCCCGCGTCCCGGCCACCACCTGCCAGGGCACGGCGCGAGGACAGCTTGGTCCCGCTGCTCGCCCGGCGCCGGAGCCCTGCCCGTGCCCACCCCGGCTGGCGTTACCCTCTCGGGGGGCTGCTGCAGGATGGGCAGCTTCTCCTCCAGCTTGTCCAGCCCTTTGCAGGCCAATTCGTTGGCGGTGGAAACTGGAGGTGTGAAAATAGGTGGGTTTAGCACCCTGCTGCCTTGCAGGAGCTCTGCTAGGGCAGGGGTTTGGGCTCCCCCAAAACTTGTGGGGTGTTTCCCCTCCAACCCTCCAGCTTCTCCAGCCCTTTATTCATTGACACAAACTGATTTGTGATACTGTGCAACCGGATCATCCCTCTCCTGGCTCCTCAGCAGAGCAAGAATTGGGGTGCCCCATCCCCGTGGGGTGCTGTCCCCCGTCCCTGCACTCACTCTGGGGCTCCAGGCGGGTGAGGAGGGGCTGGGCCCGGCTGGCTGCCGCCGCTGTCAGCGCTCTCAGCGTCCTCACGCCCTTCTCGGCCGCGTGGCACACGGGGCGCACGCAGGGGAGCCTCTCCTTGCTGCGGCCGTAGGCCGAGGCCACGGCCCTGCGGGCACAGCTCACCAGGGGCAGGCTGGCCACGCGGCTCACCACGCTCTGAGGGTGGGGGACAATAAGATGGGGTCTACCCACAGCCCCCCCCAAACCTTCCATGCGCCCCTACCTGAATTTCTGTCCGGCTCTCAGGCGGCACCACCGCGTTTTCGGCCGACATGGCAGCAGCGGTGGCTGCAGGGGGAAGAGGGAGATTTTGGGGTGCCGTGGGTGGGTGAGACTGGTGGGGACACCCTGGGGGTGACACCACCGGCACCCCCCAGCCCCTGTTCCATGAGGGCTGAGGGGCACCAGCTCACGTCCCGAGTGGGAGCGGCTGGCGGGTTCTGAGGGGTTCTCGGGGGGGTTATGAGGGGTCTGAAAGGGGTTTTGGGATGGGGTTGTCCTTCTTCCCTGCCAGGAAATGGGGGGACTGGGTCCCCTCAACTCCTCTTGGACCCCTCTACCCACTCTGGGATCCCCACGCCCCTTTTGGGGCCAGGGAGGAGTTTTTGGGTGATTCAGCTGAAGCCACACCGGACACTCCTCTGTCGCAATCCTGCGCTGGGGACGTGCCGCTCGTCACCGCCGCCTCGGCCGGGGCAGCCCCCGGAGCCCGCAGGGAACCGAGCCGCGGCAGCTCCCCCGTACCCCGGCACCCCCGGACCCCGGCATCCCCGGACTCCGGCACGCCCCGAACCCCGGCACGCCCCGGACCCCGGCACGCCCCG